ATCAATGCTTTTGTGGTGCTGGAGAAGATTACTGAACATACCATGGACTGTCAAGAGAACGAACAGATTTGTCATGGAGAAAGTGAAGCCAATTTGCTCTTTGGAGTCAAGGATTTTGAAACCCTGTCTTACATACTTTGGACATGTCCAGAAAGATCAGTCCTTAGAGAAGGAACTTATGCTTGGAAGGGTGGAGGGTTGATGCAGGAAAGGAAGACCCTGGGAAAGATGGATTAACACAGTGATTGAGGCAGTGGTGGTAGGTGTGTCAGAGGCAGTGAGATTGGCTCAGGATAGGCAGATTTAAGAGCTTTTGTACATATGGTTACTATGAGTCCTAGACAACGGCACATACAATAATGTGTGTGTGTGTGTGTGTGTGTGTATGTTAGAGCTGACCCCAACCATTATAAACTTTTGTTTCATAATTCTTTTCTATAAGGAGTAATGACAGAAATAAAAGACGGGAAAGAGCATAGGGTTAAAAATAGAGAAAGAGCAATGGAAAATGGAACTTATCTATATTCAGCAGAAAGGACATGGCCATTATTAGCTGAGATCACCCCTCTTCTCTCTCTATGCAGGAACTGGATCTCCAAGAAAAGAAGTCCTTCAGACTGGTTTCCCATCTTGTCTAGAGCTGTCCTCGTCTACCAATCCTCTTGTCCTCTTTCCATTGGCTACTGGTCCCTTGGGATGTATCTCTGCTTTCCTCAGGATCATTTAAAAGCTCTGTATTTATTAACTGTGTGTCCAGCTGGAATGGAAATTCAGAAAATCAAGTGCCTCTTAGAGAATGATGATGGTGTGAATCAATCTGTCCCTGAGCTGACCTTCCCACTTAAGAAAAGAGGAAATGAGTTCAAGTGGAACATACTGACACCCAGCTCAGCTGCTTACATACCCGAAGTAAAATACCTCTCAGAAAGCTTGCTATTTCCATCTGGGCCAACACTGAGGATAAACACTACAAGGAATCACCCCACCACATGGAAGCGTTGGAAAGCTACACACCATGACATCCCTATCTCCTCATTATCACACTCAAATTCAGACAGGCTCAACTGAATTAAATTAATAAAAAAAAACACATAGTACTTGCCCTGTGAACCAATAACCACTGCTCTAACTATGTTGTTGTTGTTATGTGCCATCGAGTCGTTTCCGACTCATAGCGACCCTATGCACAACAGCTCTAAACTCTGCTCTATCCTGAGCCAACCGCACCGCCTCCGACACACCCATCCCGATTACCCCAGTCACCGAATCAATCCATCTCATAGAGGGTCTTCCCCTCCTGCACTGTCCCTCCACCCTCCCAAGCATGATGTCCCTCTCCAAGGACCCGTCCCTCCTGGCAACATGTCCAAAGTATGTCAGACGAAGCCCCAGAATCCTTGCCTCCAAGGAGCAGCTTGGTTTAATCCTCTCCAAGATGAATCTGTTTGTTTTCCTGGCAGTCCATGGTATATTCAGTACCCTTCTCCGGCACCACAGCTCAAAAGCATCCACTCTCCTTCTGTCCTCCCTAGTCATTGTCCAACTCTCTGATGCATAACAAGCGATTGCAAATACCATGACCTGTATCAGGCGCACCTTAGTCTCCAGAGAGACACTGTTGCTCCTGAGTACCTTTGAGAGGTCCCTAACAGCAGACTTTCCCATCGTGATACGCTTTTTTATTTCCTGACTGCTGGTACCAAGAGTGTTGACTGTGGAGCCAAGCAAAGTGAAGCTGTGAACAATCTCAATCTCTTCGTCATCCATCCTGATGCTGCCAACTGGTCCAGTGGCGAGAATCTTTGTCTTCTTGACGTTGAGCCTTAGTCCATACTGAAGGCTGCAGTCCTTGACCCTTCACAGCAAGTGCATGAGGTCCTCCTCAGTTTCAGCAAGCAAGGTTGTGTCATCTGCATAACGGAGATTGTTAATAGATCTTCCACCAATCCTGATGCCACAATTCTCCCCATTGAGCCCAGCCTCTCGGATAATCTGCTCTGCATACAAGTTGAAAAGGTATGGAGACAGGATGCATCCCTGGCGTACACCCTTCCCTATTTTGAACCATGCAGTGTTACCCTGCTCTGTTCTGACTACTGCCTCTTGGTCCAAGTATAGGTTTCGTATTAGCACAATTAAATGTTCTGGGAGGAGAGAAGGTTAGCACTCCCCTTGACAAGGATGGAAGAGGCCCTTTGGGCCTTTACAACATGCATACGGTTAAGGCATTGCCACCTACTTCGTGGCATCTAACCACCGCTCTAACTATAGTAGTATATTTATTTATATTTATAGTTGTTGTTGTTATGTGCTGTCGAGTCGCTTGCGACTCATAGCGACCCTATGTACAACAGCCCTAAACTCCGCTCTGCCCTGTGCCAATCGCACTGTCTCTGACACTCCCATCCCAATTATCCCAGTCACTGAATCAAATCCACCTCATAAAGGGTCTTCCTCTCCTGTGCTGTCCCTCTACCCTCCCAAGCATGATGTCCCTCTCTAAGGACCGGTCTCTCCTCACAACATGTCCAAAGTATGTTAGACGGAGCCTCAGACTCCTTGCCTCCAAGGAGCCACCCGGTTTTACCCTTTCCAGGACAAATCTGTTCGTTTTCCTAGCAGTCCATGGTATTCTCAATACTCTTCTCCAGCACCACAGCTCAAAGGCATCAATTCTCCTTCTATCTTCCCTGGTCATTGTCCAACTCTCTGATGCATATCAAGTGATTGCAAAGACCATTCCACAAAAGCTCTCCATTGGGTTTTCAGAGGCAGTTAATCACTTGGGAGATTGCCCATCCTTCTGTGGAGCAGCTTGTGGATTCAAACCACACACCTTCAGAATTGCAGTACAGCTTCTTGCCACTAGGCCACAGAGCGCCCTAAAAGAATAGAAAGTATACTATTATCCTTATTTTATAGATGAGGAAACTAAAGCCCAGAGACGTGTCAGCCAGTTGGACTCTGGATTCATGCTCTAAACTCTATCTCTCTGCTGCCTGTCAGCAGAACATGAGTAGCATTTAGTGAACAGTGTGTACCAAATAAATCTATCCCTCATTAAAGCCATATGTACAGATCCCTAAAATGGCCCAGGATGGACAAGGTAATACATACACTTGCATTTCCTTGACCTTCTTCAGGCACAGGTCTTGGGACAAAGGAGCAAAACTAAAGGAGAAGAGGCAGGTAGGTGAGCACTCTTGGGGCCCAGGTAGTGTATTTAATCGATGAGACACTGGACTGGCAGGAAAGGACAAGATTTAGCCCCAGATTTACCACCCACTTGGTGTTTGACCTCAGGCAAGTTACTTCCTTCCTAAGGGTTTTCCTCTTGGGTAAAAATGTCATCAAAAGGAAAAAAAAAGTTTTTTCCACCAGCACCTAAGTAATACAATGTATGGGCTGTAATAGGTACATAAATAAAAATATGTTTAAGGTAAAATGGATGTCTGACATGCCTTCAGGCCTTAACATCCAGTGAACCTGACAGGAAAAGATCCCTCCTCATTCTGTTTGCTGTCAGAAGCTCAATTGGGACAAAGTAAGTGACATTTCCTCAGCCTATTTTCCTAACCCCTTAGAGAAAGATGAACAATCTACCCCATGTACTTTACAGCCTCTTAAAGACTGCTTGAAGAGTCAGCTAGGAGTTGTTTCCAACTTGATGGCAATGAGTTGAGACTCTAGTTTAACTTCCCATGTGGGAAGTTGTTAAAAAACCATATATGAGCGAGTCTGTCTCTATCCAGACAAGTACTGAGCACAGCCAACAGCAAAGCAGCCATTTGTGTGTATGCAAAGGGAAGACAAAAGATGAATAAGATAGTTTTCTGTCCTTAAGAAATTCATAGTATAGTAAGAGATGGATAGTCTACAATTAACTATAAAATATATACCCAGTTCAACAAGGCAGAAAGAGAAAGTTTATTGCAACACTCAGACTTAAGGTGATGGAGGCTGGAAAACAAATGTTTTTTTACTTAACCTCAATGTCTGTTTCCTGTTTATTGGTAGGAAACTGCTCTGAGTTAAGAACCTGAGACCACTGCCCACTCCTCCCTCTTAGTCTTGCCCTGTAAAAGCTCATTCACTGGTGCATTGTTCAGCACCAGCTGATGCTATCTCTCCATACAAGTTGGGACTTATAACTCTTGAAACATCTTATATCTTGTCTAAAGTTGTCTGGGACCCAACGAAAGGCCTTCATCCCTTTTTCAGAACAGTAAGCCCTCTCATGTCTAGCTCAACTGCAATGACACATCTTTAAGGCTACCCTCCCTCAATCTTCATCCTTCTTAAGGTTAGCTCTGCTTCCTGAGAAGCCAGGTTTTGGTGGGAGGAGTAAGAGCAGATACAATCAGAGGCGAGGCAGGGAGAGGCCCACAGAACTGGTGTTCCCACTGGTTCTGTTTCCTGCCCTGGTGGCACTCTCACCCTCAGTCAGGGCGGGTGGGGAAAGAGTCAGGTACAGACAGGACCTCTGACTCCCTCAGTCATTCACTGCTCTCTTCTCTTGGCGGCCACTCACTCAGGTTTCATGCAAGGCCTAGTGAGCATAGATGCTGGACAGATGGTGTACTTAGAGGTACAGAGATAAAGACTGACAACATATATGTACCAAACTGGGAGCTGGTTCCTGCAGGACGGGGTCCTAGGTCTGGCTCAAAGAAAATTCAGAGCAACAGCTCAAGCACTAGAATATCTGCTGGGTGGGCTGGCATACTAGACATTTATGCTTCAGAGACTATCACCTTGGTTGCGAGCAAAGATTTTGCTTGGCAACTGTGGAGGGTATCTGCTTCCAGAGTAGAGAAATAGAACCTACGACTCTCAGACCCTTCCCACCTACTTATGCTTAAAGGCAATTCCATCTCTTTCACAACTTGGTGAGGTCAGTACAAAACTGGTAACCTCACTTTGTCCTCAAAACTCTCAACTGATTACTTGTCAGAAACTACTGCGGCTAAGTATAGGTGAAGATGAGTAAACTGAATCAATGATCAGATAAAACAGTTTATTTTAAAATGGCAAGGGCAAAGGGAATAACACAGAGAACTCTTGGCACGTTCATTCCAGCCCATCATCCCCATGTCTCCCCTAACCCAAAGAACTGGCAGGAAGGGCCCCAGGACAGGCTGAGGGGGCCAAGAGTCGCAAAGTCAAATACAGATCTGTACAACCCTAGAGGGGTGGAATTCAAGCATCTATCCTGATGTCGTGATCCTAGAACAGGATTAGAGCTCTGGGGCATAGGACTCTCCTGTAGGAGAGGGTACCCGCAGTTCAGCATCATGCCGTACCACAGTGAAAAGGCCCACAACTGCCAACAGTGCCATTACCATGACAGCAGAGCAGATGCTGAACATGTTCCGTGTCCCTGTTTTGCGATCACTGTCATGGAGGATAAGGAGTCCCAGGCAGGCCAACAGGTGCAGCGGCACTCGGAACCAGTTGAGGACACCAGCCTGCTCTGTCTCAGGGATCACCTTTCTCCGCAGGAAGCTCATGCTGGGAAAGTACAGCCCACAGGCCAACTCAATAAGCAGGAAGGCTATGAAGGACTCCACTGGGCTCTCTTGGCCTGGGCTGGTGGAGAAAGTCAGCATGAAGAGGGAGAAGACGACGATGAGGACAGCCAGGGAGAGTAGGTGCATGGGCTGAAGGTGGTATCTCTTGGAGGTGGCAATGCGGTACAAGGAAGAACCAAGCAGGCTTGCTGCCATGAAGCTGGAGAAGACAATGCCCAGTGGTGCTCCATGTGGGTGCAACACAGGTGTCCAAAGGAAAATGAAGATGAAGATGACACTCTCAAAGAGGGCTTGTATGGTGCCCAGCAATAGCACACGACGGTCTGACAGGAGGCAACGCAGGCCCCCAGCACAGGTCCTTGAGAAGGCACGCTGCCGGTCATAATTCTCTCCCCAGTTGCGAAGGGCCAATGTTCCAGCCAGAGCCAGAAGAGGAATGGCAGCGACAAAGGGCGCTACAGGCCCCAGCCCCATCCAGCTGGCCACAGCTTCGGCTGCCACACCTGCTACTATAGCCAGCACATGGTTCCAGAAGGCAACTCGGGCAAAAGTAGCTGGGATCCACTCACTAGGAAAGTCATGCCGCTCCACGTGCTCATGAATGTACCAGGCTTCGAAGGCTGAAAAGAGTAGAGCTGTGGACAGGCCACCAAGAGCTCGGCCTAGCAGCAGCACAAAATAATCCCGAGACAGTTTAGTTAGGCAGCATAGAGAGTAAGTGAGGGAGAAGAGGACACAAGACTTCTTGCGACCCAGCCAATCCACTAGGGAGGAAGCCACCAGGCCAAAGAGGACTGTGGAGGCAAGGCCACAGACATAGAAGATGGCAATCTGACCCTCCAAAAAGTGGTAATGCTGATACAGTTTATAGAGGTAGGGAGCCTGGAGCCAATCAGCTGCTAGGGCCAGGAAGTAGACTTGATAAAAGTCCAACTGAAACCGAAGGAAAGAGGGATTGCTGCAGACTCTTCCAGGGGGCTTAGACCGGCATCTTGACAGTTCCAGCCCCAGGCAGGAGGCCAGGAGGCCAACAAAGGCGAGGTAGGCGGTCACCAGCATGGTGGGCCCCCGGACGACCTGAGGAGGGAGAGACAGGGTGAGGAGGGGGCCAGAGTCACATCCATTGTCTGTCAATGGGCTGGATGTGTAAACTGAAGGGAGCCCCACCCAGACCCCTACTAAATTCAGTTCTCCACCCCTCAATTCCACTCCCCCAGAGTTCAGACCGGAGGGACCAGTTGGGTGGGTGGAAGGAGCGGTCTGCTGGGGCAGTGTGAAGAAAGGAGGGGTAAGAAGAGAGGGGAGAAGACTATGCATTCGCCCCACCCTTTCCTGGCACAGATATGAGAGAGTCACTTAGAATTCCGGTCCCGCAAGTTCCAAAGGGGCTGCTGCCCTCTTCCACAAAAGCCTCTGAACACTTCCTTCTATTACCGCCTATCTTCGCTGGGATGCCTGGTTTTGCCTTTAATGTCTCATCTACCCCAGGTATCCTTCCCGCCCGCGCGGGCCTCTCGTGTTGCTTTGGAGGCATGCGCGCGTGCTTTTTCGGATTCCCTCTTCCAGATCACCCGCACCCCTTGCGCCCCCTAGCCCCCGCCCAGTGCCGCCACACCTGCGCACGCCTCGCCTAGACCCTGTCCCACCTGCTGTCCCGGTCTACGGGGACGCTCCGGACGCGTCCGGCTCCAGGCCGCCCGGCCGCCCTCCTCACTGTAGCTCCGGCTGAGGCTCCGGCTCGGGTTCCAGCAGCGCTCCCGCCCCTCAAAGCCAGCTTCCGGGAGTCGGGCTGGCCTCTGGCCGCCGCCATGATAGCACCATCACGTGACGAGGGCGCGGCGCTAAAGCCCCTCCCCCGGCCCGCCTTCTCCTACTCCACCCGGCGCCCAGGCGCGGACACGCGTGAGGGAGGTGTGCCAGCGCCTGACTGCGTCTCCTGCGGCGCTGCCCGCTACCTTTCTTCGACACTTGCCTCGTCGAGTCGTGGATTCGTGCTGAACCACTTTGAAATAAAAGCTGGTTTTCTTTCTGCCTTCGTGCTGTGGATTAACAACAGCAGCCACAGGCAGGAAAGATGCTGGCAGTGCCGCAGAACACCCTAAGGAACGGCACAGCCGGAATAGACCGGCTTCTCAGGTTTCCCTCCTCACCACTGCTAGTGACCTCCAGGCAGGATGTCAGTATGGCCTAGACACCTGAAGGCGGCAGTGTGGTGTAAAGAACTTGAACTCATGAAGCGGACAGAAGCTTAAACCCTACTGTCTGCACTTAGCTGCTATCTAGCCTCGGGCAAGTCAGATAACTTCTCAGTGTCCCAGTTTCTTTGAAGTCCTGGGAGAGCGATGACCAAACAACAAAGTCCAGAGGAGAGCTTTGGTCACCTAGTCTGTAGGGTGTTGCGCTGCTAACCCAAAGGTGGCGCCTCTCTGGCGGTTCGACTCTGTCACCTGCTCCATCCGTGGGAGAAAAATGTTATTTGCAAGCCTCTGTAAAGCCGCTAGAGGGTCATCTATGAGTCGTCTCTGACTCGGTGGCAGCGAGGGAGAAAGCTGAGGGCCAGCATGGAGTAGTGGTTAAGAGTTACAGCCCCCAGCTCTGATTTTGGTCACTTATCCGTTGTGTTACCTTGGAAAAATTCCTTCATTTCTTAAATATTCTCAATATTACATCTTCAAGACACTCTAGTGGCCCCCATCTCACTAAGAATAAAAAGCCAAAATCTTTAGAGTAGCCACCAAAACTTCATCTGGTCCGTTCTCTTCTAATGCTCGGACCTCTTTTCCTACTGTTCACACTCCTGCTTTCTAACCCATCTTAACTGGCTTCTTCCAGAGCCTTTGCACAATATTCTTCCCTTTGAGTTTTTCTTCCATATAGTCCAATGTTCCCTACCTCACCTATACCAGATCTGTGCTCAAATGTCACCTTATCAGTAAGGCTTCCTTTGGCCATCTCGTTTAAAATAGCAACACCACCACCTGCAACACAGTAATCCACCCACTTTGCTCACAATGCTCTATTCTCCTGTGCTGTTCTTTCTCCATAGCACGTAGAACCATCTGGCACACAATATATTTTAATTATTTATTTACTATATTTCCTTCCTATAGATTTTTACCAATTTTTTAAACTTACTGTATCCTTAACATTTAAGCAGTAGTTAGAATGATGGTTGGAATGACATAACTTCTAACGCCAGCAATAATAGCAAAGTTCAACAGAACAGCACACAACAGATGCTAGTGAAGCTATGGAGAGATTGAAACTCTCATCTACTGCAGGAGGGTGTAATGTGAAATGGTACAACCTTCATGGAAAGACATTTAGTACTATGTTAGAAGGTTGGGGATATGAGTACCATTTGTTCCAGAAATCCCATTATGTATTAAGTATACATTCCAGAGAAATAAGAGCTAAGCCACAAACAGATATGTATATATTCATTGTATCATTACTTACAATAGCAAAGAGATAGAAACAAATGTCCATCAAAGAACAAATGGCTAATGAAAGTAGTATACTTACACACAATGGAATATTATACAACACTAAAAAATGTTTAAAATTTGTAGAACATTGTATACTGTGGATGAATCTACAGATAATTTTGCTGAGTGATATGTCACCCATAGGGGTATTATGGTTTAAGGCCACTAATATAAAAAGCTAAGGAAAGCTTTATACACAGAATAACTCTTGGATGGCTACCAGAGATGGGGAGAGATGACTAAAAATTAATATGGATAAGCTGAATAAAGGGAAAGGCAATGTAGAATAAGGACTTGATTCTCTCATTGTCATAAAGGTGGAACACACAGCTGACCCTCCAGAGGGTTTCCAAGGTTCTAAATCACATAGGAGGAGATTCCCTATCTTTCTGTCATGCTATAGCCTCTGGATTTTTGTGCAATTCCCTATGGCCTAGGTCACCAAGGTTCCCTGGAGGTTGATTAGACTTTTTAAATTAATTATGTAAATAAATTATAATGTTATAAAACAAACATGTATGAATGATTAAATGAAAATCTAACACAAGTTGTAAAAATTCGAAGAATATGGTTAAAAACTGGCTGTTACTTAATAAGTGTTCAATAAATATTTAATGAGTAAATGAATCTATGTATGAATTCAAGTATGTCAGAAATAATAAGGATAGTATAGGAGAACAAAGGCTTCAAATCTGTTGTCCATAAGGTCATACATAGTGACTTCAACAATGACATTTAACAATATCAACAAATTACTTTTTCAAGTTCTTGGTCCATGTTAGTTACCAATATTTATCAAACAGTTATTCTGTAAGCTCTGTGTTAAGAAGGGTTTTTTTGTTTGTTTTTTAATTTTACTATTTTTGTGTGTGTGCCATCAAATTGGATCTGACTGGTACAGGAAAAGATTGCCCCTCCTTCTCCAGCAGAGCATGTGTTAAGAAGTCTTGGGATAAGTGCTACATATAAATTATTTAACTGCCAAGCATCAAAAGAAGATGGAGGGAATACATGGAGTCACTGTACCAGAAGGAATTGATTGACGTTGAAAATTTTAGGAAGTACCATATGAACAGAAGCCAATGGTAATGAAAGAGGAAGTGGAAGCTGCCTTGAAGAAATTGTAAAAAATTAAGGCCCCTGGAATTGATGGGATACCAATTGATTTGTTTCAATGAACAGATGCAGCCTTGGATGCACATCAGGAAATTTGAAGGACAGCTGTCTAGCCAATGGAATGGAAGAGGTCTATATTTGTTCCTATTCCCAAAAAGGGTGATCCAACTGAGTGTGGAAATTTTCGAATGCTATCATTGTTATCACATGCTAGCAAAATACTGCTGAAGATCATTAAAAAATGGCTTGAACAGTACAAAAATAAGGAATTGCCAGAAGTTCTAGTAGGATTTAGAAGAGGCTGTGGTAAGAGGGATGTCGTTGCTGATGCCAGGTGGATCCTGGCTGAAAGTAAGGACTACTAGAAGAATATCTATTTGTGTTTTATTGACTCTGCAAAGGCATTTGACTGTGTGGATCCTGACAAGTTGTGGCTGACATTGAGAAGAATGGGAATCCCAGAGCACTTGACTGTGCTCATGAGGAACCTATACCTGGACCAGCAGGCTGTTGCCGATCTGAGTAGGGGAGCACTGCATGGTTTGGAATTGGGAAGTGAGTGCATCAGGGATGTATTCTGTTTCCATACCTGTTCAATCTATATGCTGAGCAAATTATTCGAGATGCTAGTCTCTATGAAAAGGAGTGTATCATCAGGATTGGAGGGAGATCATCAGTAACCTGCGTTATGCAGATAACACAACCTTCCTCACTGAAAGTGAAGAGGATTTGAAGCACTTGTTGCAGAAGATCAAGGAATACAGCCTTCAGTATGTATCGCATCTCAATATCAAGAAATTCTTACCACTGGACCAGTATGTAGTGTCATGATGGATGGAGAGGAGACTGAAACTGTCAACAGCTTCATCTTGCTTGGATCCACAATTAACACCCTTGGTATGAGCAGTCAGGAAATCAGGAGACACATTGAACTGGGAAAATCTGCAGTTAGGGACCTCTCCAAATTATTGAGGATCAGTGATGTCAGTTTGAGGACTAAGGTGTGTCTGACTCAGGCCATGGTCTTCCAATTAGCTATGCATACGAGACCTGTACAATAATAAGGTTGACAGGAAAAGAATTGATGCCTTTGAGCTGTGGTGGTGGATAAAGAGCATGACGGCCAAGAGAACAAATGGATATGTCTTGGAGAGGATGCAGCCAGAGTGCTCATTGGAGACAAGAATGATGAGGCTTCACCTCACATACTTTGGACATATTGCTAGGAGGTAGTTCCTGGAGAGGAATATGATATTGGGAAAGGTGGAATATTGGCAAAGGAGAGGAAGACCCTCAACCACGTGGGTTGACAGGGTGACTGCTGTAATGGGCTCTTGTCAGGAAGTGTGAGGATGGCACAGGACAACACAGGACAGGACTGGTTTCAGATCTTTTATTCATAGGGTCACTATAAGTCATACTCAATTCGAAGGCACCTAACAAAAATAACAACGACATGACTAACATAACTAAGGTGGTTGTTGTTATGTGCTGTCAAGTCGCTTGTGACTCATAGCGACCCTCTGTACAACAGCCCTAAACTCTGCTCTATCCTGTGCCAATCGCACTGTCTCCGATACACCCATCCCAATTACCCCAGTCACTGAATCAATCCACCTCATAGAGGACCTTCCCCTCCTGTGCTGTCCCTCCACCCTACCAAGCTTGATGTCCCTCTCCAAGGACCAGTCCCTCCTTACAACATGCCCAAAGTATGTCAGACGGAGCCTCAGAATCCTTGCCTCCAAGGAGCCTCCCGGTTTGACCCTTTCCAGGATGAATCTGTTTGTTTTCCTAGCAGTCCATGGTACACTCAATACTCTTCTCCAGCACCACAGCTCAAAGACATCAACACTCCTTCTATCTTCCTTAGTGATTGTCCAACTCTCTGATGCATAACAAGTGATTGCAAAGACCATGGCCTGTATCAGACGCACCTTAGTCTCCAGAGAGACACCATTGCTCTTCAGTACTTTGGAGAGGTCCCTAACAGCAGACTTTCCCATGGCAATGCACCTTTTCATTTCCTGGCTATTGGTGCCAAGAGTGTTGACTGTGGAGCCAAGCAAACTAAAGCTGTGAACAATCTCTATCTCTTCACCATCCATCCTGATGCTGCCAAATGGCCCAGTGGTGAGAATCTTTGTCTTTTTTACTTTGAGCCTCAATCCATATTGGAGGCTGCAGTCCTTGACCCTCTGCAGCAAGCGCTTCAGTTCCTCCTC